TATTTTTTCTTTACAGGTTTTATTTATAATTATCACATAAAAAAGGTTGGAACCCAATTTTGAATAAAATCTTTTGGACCTGTGCACAACTTTATTAGGAACCCAACCACACAAACATCAATCAAACAAATAGATATCTAAAACTATTTAAAATCCATGGACAAGAGGTTGAACCAAATCAGACACTTGTGTTGCTCCCATCTAAATAACTGTGCTGTAATGGTTTTTAAATGGAAGACATCTAAACAATATTCAGCATGGATGACAGAAATTTACCTTGTTTTCCAAGCACACTCATGCTCTTGATTTTCATCCATGGATAAATTGAGAGGGTGTGAGTGGGGTGCAAGGCCATCAAATCCCGCAGCAACATAGACTCATCATTTAAGTCAATCATACAAGCAAGAGAAGCAAATGAATGGAAAAAAGTAAAAGGTATTAAAAGTAAAAAAGTAAAAAAGTAAAAAAAATTGAATAGGCGACAGCAGTATCAGCATGATGAAGGAGGTTGGCAGAGTTTGATTTGCTTCAATAGAATTGCATTTTGTGGATTGTATCAATTGTATAGAGTCTGACTCAAACTCATAGGCATTCTGCACAAGGCCCCACAACAACATACACTCTACTTTTTTTCTATGGGGAACACACAAGTGGAATAGTTCTCCAGAGAAGGGAACTCCAATATGGACAATCTTTGACAAGACAAAGAAAGAGACATTGGTAGGAAGGGAAAGAATAGGTTCTGATAGGTATCAGATCAGGGCCTAGATCTTATTTCCCAAACCATTCAGGAACTGGGTTCAGGTGGTCAAGAAGGGCCTGTAATCAGAATATCATCCAATAGCTACCCCCCCCCCCTACCTGATAGTACAAACTTTCCCGTATCTTTGCATTCCCCTACACTTGCTGAATAACTCAAATAAGGCCTGATAGATAAAGACATTGGTTGATCGAACCAGAAGAAAAATAAGAAACTCACAGCATGTTAGTAGAAGAGAATTGTTTTTTTTCAACACACAAACGAACTCATGTTCATTATTTATCACCATGCACCCAAGGACACATGTTTACTGTATGTTCTATTGAGTAGGGAACTCCTTTGGCATTCAATACGTCCCATTCGTCTCAATATATTATTTTATTCAATGACAGCGGACTTTGCAACGGTAAGAGCCAAATTTAATTAGGGCAAGTTACTAGGCCGTAGCCACCCCTGTTATCAGAATTCCAGGTTTCCTGATAGTGCCCTGGTAATGGCTACCAGAAGTTGCGGCAGTAGTAGCCATTGGGCTCCGCGGCGTCATTGTAGCGGTGTTTGGCCGGAAAAGGTACCAAACGGATACGATTTTGCAGCAGGTGCAATCTAATCTGTGCCACGGTTCCAGTCATGATCCCTAGAATCGCAAATCCCTGCTGCACATTCCTCCAGGTTTCAATCCATCCGCTCCACCAGCAACTTGAGCCGGCATGTGCGTATTGTCTCTCTCCACCCTCGAAGCTCGTGTTGATCACACCCCAGTAAAGTTATATATATATATGTATATGTACATATATGTGTGTGTGTGTGTGTGTGGGTGGGTTACGTCGACGAAAAAAAAATACTTTCCCACCACCGAAGCGTAAATTCAGCGGTCATTTCTGCCTTGTGGCAGGCACAGAAACGAGCAACGAAAGGGTACCGTCAGACGAGTAGACGAAAGGCAGAGTAAAACTTAATGGAAAGAATAAGTAGACCAGTGAGTAGTCGCGGATTTTGGCATCCGTGACGCCTCAAGAAACATGAGCCGGAGTTGGGCAGGAAGAATGCACCCTCACAGCTCAGTTAGAAGTTCCAGCTCCCGCCGATGTGGCACTGCTCACTTTCCCTGAGACCGACCATTGCGGTGAAAGTAGCCTTTTGTTTTTGTTTTTTTTTTGCATCATCCGGAAGACAGACTCGTGGTCGGCCATCCCTCATTGTTTTCGAACATATCGAGGTTTTTAACTCACTGTATTCATTCCGCCTAACGACCCATCGATCAGCCCGGCCGTAGCCCCAACAGCTATGAACAGTCCCCCACCCCACCCACCCGCAATCCTCAAACTCCGAATCGATCGACAGTGATCTCCGGTGATCTGCAGCAGGAGTGCGTGGTTGTCAAATTTGGCAGATTCTATAGTAAATTGGTCACAGTGGTACGGTGTGGCGTTGATGAAGCGGGGGCGAGGGCCCCATGATTGGTGGCCGCAAGCAGTCGCTCCTACAGTAATCCGGGAAAAAGATGGCTCCATCTCCTTGAAGAGGCTGTCACTCGGACGAAGATTATACTAAAAAGAATTGATTATTTTTTGCAGTCGATGACGGTGGCTTACATGTGAAGGGAACCACGGGTGACGCTGCAAATTATCTAGGATCTCACTATCAGTGGGAATCAACGTCTACGTCCATCGAATTTCGCAGTGATCTGCTTTTATGAGGAATGAAGGAAAATCATTCAGGTTCATGCTCTGGCTATAATTCGCCTCACGACTGACGTCGCAACAAGATTAAAATGATTGTAAGCCTCCGATAGGGATTGGTGCATTGGTATCCGAAGTACAGTGATTGAATTTAAGTTTGATTGAGAGTAATTTTCGGTGTCGCCTCACTTTCTCGACGTAGAGATTCTAAATCTTCCAACTTGACCTTGAGTTGAATTCCTGCGCGTGTGTCTCCGCAAGTGGCGTCGTGTGTGCTGATGTGGTTGGTGCTTACCGTGACAAGTTCCACAGTCTACTCCTGTTAGTGAACATGGTTTTGACGTGTTTATCTGCTCACGTGGGATTGTGTGGTTAACTCATGTGTAAAAGTCATGCCACGAAAGAGCCTGGACACGAAATTCCAGCCGTTTCAGACATTCATCAACAAGGAATGGCGTATTTGGATCAACTGAACAATTTTCACGGACATGAAGCTTAACTCAGGGGCAAGTTGAGTGAAGGAAAGTCTATTTCCCGAACCAGTTCATTTACTACATATGAAACCCCACGAGAAAGAGTTAAAAACAGAAAAAAGATGTCATCGTTGTTTTTGCGCTGTCTAAAAAGACACGCCTGTTACAGAGTTATCAGTAGGATTGCTCGGTTCTCTTAAGTGTCTCAAGCACAGGATCAGATTATGAACGATTACACGTCTCTGGTTAATTCTCGATGGAATTCTCAGCGTTGCAACGAAGCTATATATCTCCCAGAGCATCCGGTTTGGCAGTCATACATATATAAAAAATTCTTTAAATAATGCTTGTATATTAATATAATTTAAAATAAGGTTTCAATTAAAAGATCTTTTTTTTTCAAGCAAAAAACTTTAATCTTTTCTTAGAATGATTAAAGAAATAGAATTATAATATCAACTAGATTTAAAAGAATTATGTTGTATATATATATATATATGTATATGTATATATTTAAATAAAAAATGATGTGGCTATCTTTTACCATTTTCTAATAAAACTGTTTATACAATTTTATCATTTCTGTACTCAAACATCAAGGTCTAAGTTCAATTTTTTCTTTTATTTTAATGACAAAGGGATCAAAGCTTAAGTATATAAATTATTGTTTTATTTTTTATTTATTAATTATTATATTATTTTTTTTCTAAAAATACTAAAATAATTTATCAAACTTTACAAATCATTCTTTCAAGGCCAATCAAGCCAAAGAACTAGATAAGAAGTAGAAATCAAAGAATAATTGGTTCAAGCCCAATTAAAGCTACAAAGTAATCTTTAAAACTTTATAGCTCAATAAAAGATAAATTAATATAAATATATAAAAATAAATTTAATAACTAAAAATAAGATGTAATAAAAGTAGAAGTATGCAAAAGATAGAAAAAACATAAAAATTACTTAAAGATAATAATATAACATCCAAAAAATTTATGACGAATAATAAACATGGTATTAAAGTACACTAACAAAGTCTTATTAAAGATGCAATCATTTAATACTATGGCTATTAGATGAAAAAGAAAAAGAAGGATTGTATTATATAAGAGCTTAATTGAAAACATCATAGAAAGTTACTTTTAATATATACATAATAATCAAGGATGTAGAAAAATTAAAAAGTATGAATAATTCTTTTTGCAAAATAGACTTCTACTTACTTTGTATGGCTAAAAATAAGGCAAATAGAGTAGATTAGAAAAATAAATGATATAAACATCTTCAGAAGAAAGGTAAGAGTAGTTTTAAGGAAAATTTACCTTAAAAACCTAGAAATTGATATTTGAAAGGACTAATTATGAATTAGGGTTGAAATCAAATCCCTCGGCCCAAAACTACACACCAATGGCGATTCTGGGATTGTTTAGGTAATTGGAGAAGAGGGTCTAAGAGCAAATTAGAAAGAGATTCTTTTAGCATTGAATTTGAGTGATTTGAGTTTATAGTAACTTTGTAAAGGCTTTGCAAAGTTAGGGTCATTTTAAGGTGACTTTGTTTTTTTAAAGAAATATAAAGGGTTTATACTTTGGAGACTTTTGTAACATTGGTAGTAGATCTACAAGTGATTTTTTTTGGTTGTGTGATTATAATTTTTTTTGAATTTGTGCAATAAATTTGAACTAAATTGAACAATTTATTTGAATGTTTAGAAATATTTGAAGTTTGATTATGATTTTATTAGGATTTTTTAAAGATTTGATTTGATTTTGATTGAGATTTAATTCATGTGTTTTAAAGAATTTTTAAGAAATATTTTAAAATCGGTTAGAATGTGATAAGATTAATCTAAGATGTTTCTAAATTTAATAGGATGTATTTAAGATAATTGTAAGCTTACTTGGATTATTCAAGAATGCCAAAGGATGTTTCTAAACACCTTATGCATTATTTTAGATTCTAATTCAAATTTTAAGGCAAATTCAACTCTACCACAGTTAGATGCCTAATGCATTTCCAAATTAGTTTTCACATAACATAACAACACTTGTTATAAAATTTGTGTAATGACATTATAAATATATACTACAATTTGCCTTAATATCAATTTATAAAGTTCTCTAATATCTCATACCAATAACAGTAAAAATGAGGTCATCTCCTATACCACTCAAGTTCCTAGTTACACATTACATCTCAAAATTGCATCCCCTGTGCCATGCTTTAGCTGCTGGGTGGTCGACTATGCTTTCACTGTGCCAAATGTGTGTAAAAGTTGGCCTCTACTCTAATGCACGTATGTAAAAACATAGTCTCGAATTCCGATCACCATCAATTAATGGTTAGGCACTAGTATCGAAGAGCCCATGAACCAGGAGCTTTACTTGAACAAATAAGCTAATTGAAATGTCTCGGTCATGGTAATCTATGCAACAGCACCGAAGATTTTTGAAGTAGCCAGATTTATCAACTTTTTAGTCTAAGCACACTTTACCACGCAACAGGCCAAGCAAACATGAAACGCACATCTATTTCGATACTTCAGCATTTTTTACGGAAAAGAAAGGTGCAGGAATCCACCTAGGACTTAAGAAACACAATAGTTTGATTAAACCATAGTGCGACCGTAACAAAGAGACTATTTAAAGACTTATTTGTTCCTCAAAAGATGTGACTTAGAGAAACAATTAAGTTGTAACTTCTTCTCTGTTCTCAAACACTGGTCTATGTCCTACTGGTACACAGCTCTACAACCCTTTTCTACAAAATAAGAGCACCATCGCAATCTAATCATGGTAGAACAATCATAATCATAATGTCAAGCTAGAAACTATGCCCAGACTCCCTCAAACAAAGGCCTAGTAAGCTTTTCATGGCCCTTTGAGCTTACCACAAGATCCATCAAATCACGCACTTCCTTTGACAACGAGTCAGAGATCTCAAGTTCAGCGTCTACCTCAGCATCTACAAGCTCATCACGGGCCGAAATGAGAAGAAATTCAACACCTTCGTAATTGAGAAGGTCTGGAGGATCGACTGGCACGAATCGTTTGGGTCCCATCTTTCCCAGCATATACGCAGGGAGAATGGCTTGCCGCTTGCTTCCTGGCTGCAAAGGCTCTGCCTGCTTAGGGTTCTTCACCTGACACACAAGGATGCTGGTATATTAATGAAAATGATAAAGAAATTTGAGGCTAATTATTCCAGGAAAGAAATTGATTTTCTGCATGATAAAAAAAGAAAAAAAGAAAAAAAGAAAAAATCCCTCAGTACCTGAATGACGAAGGATGCTTGTGTTTCAATGTTCATTGCATCCTGGGGACCATGCTTCTCATGTTGTCCAGGATGCTCAAGCTTGTAAACCAGGTGGATGCTTGTTTGCTTGTTATCTCGGTGATGTCGAACAATGCTATACCTCCCTTCACCCACAGGTCTGGCTGCTGGGTTCACTCTATAGCCACGCGTCTTTGTGTCGTATTCCCCTGCAGGTATCCATTGAATGAATTAAATTTAGGGTAAACGTCCGTTTCAGTTGTGATGTTTGTTGTGCTGAAACTGAGAATCTCAGATAAAATCTTTATATGCAACAACAACGCTAAAGTTCGACATCTTAACCAAAGGAGGTGCACAGATCCTTACCTTCAGAGAGCATTTTCTTGAGATCCTCAGGGTTCGAAGTGATAAGCTCCACGAACCCCCAATAAGGTCTTGACTTGCCCTTGGCCGCATCAGGAAGGCTTTTCCGTCCCATCACAATATATCGAAATAGATGCTTCTCTCCGATCTCGACCTTCTGATAGTTGCAAAAATTTAATCAATCAGCACAGCCAAGTTCGAGATCGGAGAGAAGCCTCTTATGTGCAATATTATTCTTAAACCTTTTACTCGAAGAAGTAATAAAAAAGTAAAAGCCCCCCTTTCGCAAGTAGAAAGTTCAAGTCTAGATGATGACCACACTACCTCCAGATCTTGGTTTTCTTTCTTTGCAGTGTCATCCTCGTCCCCTTTGTTGGAGTAATCTTTCTCTTCCCCTGTAGTCTCCTTGGACTTTTCCTCAGTGCTATCACCTTCTGCTTTTGCCTCTTCCTCTGTCGCTGCATCAGATTTATCTGAGCCAGTCTTCTCGTGTCCTTCAACCACGGATTTTTTTTCTACTTCAAATTGCCCCTCCTTCCCTGCAACATGTTCTAATTATTAAGCCTTTTTCTTCGATAAGATTCTGCAATTTAGAACTTTGCAAGATCCAGAATACACAGTTGTGAACCATTTTTTTACTGAAGTCTTAGGCCGCAACATACATACGTCGATCATAAATAACAGCATAAAAGTCCTTGCATGAACGAAGCTTCTGAAGATAATCTACCCAAAAGCCTTCAAAAGGGTTTGCCAAAAACCGATGTGCCGAGTCCTCCTTACAACTGATCAGATATCGTATAGTGATCTTCGTAGGATTTCATAATGTACCTGTATCTGAGCTTTGCTTCTCCTCGATTCCTTTTTCAGCAACCTGAGGTCGAAGCACAAAAATCATGCGTTGGACATCATCCCCAGTGTGCGGCTTCTCGACTCCAACTTTGGGTTTGAAGAAAAAGTAGATTTCTCCCTTCTCCTGCTTCCCCATGTTGCATATTTAGTGCTCGAAAATTAGGGAACGGTAGTCTGAAAATACTACAGAGTAACAAAAATTGAGGTATAATCGCGTATGACCTTCGCACATTCCATTTCTACGTGGTCACCAAAGATGACCTTAAAGCCGCACTGAGTGACTTGGCAATCAACTGCCATTGCTGTTAGGGAACCACATCCAATGTTCATTACATGCCATCGATGACTGCATTGTGCTGAAAATGAAGACTTAGACTCACCATGCTCAGGAAGACCTGAATCATTCCTCCACACTGGAAAAAAAAAAAAAAAAACAAAACAAAACAAAACAAAACAAAAAAAAAACAAACAAACAAACAAACAAACAAACAAACAAAACAAAACAAAACAAAACAAAGAAATCAAAACCAAAGTTCTCTTTGAATAAAATCGCACATTGTTACAGTGGAATGCAATTACGACTAATCTATGTTCTTGGCCTCACCCCCGCGTGCTCAATTTAACCTTCCGGACTCAAGACAACAACATCAAACAACGAAAATCTGCCACCAGTTTTTCACACTGCCTTACTGCTCATCACCCCGCCCATACATACTCACTCCCGAAATGTGAAAATGGAGGAAATGAAGCAGAATCGGAACTTCCAATCAGTCAAGCTGGTGACAAAAAGAGACGGCATTGATCGACACACATACCAGCACAGTGAAGGAAGTCGACTCCTGGCTCCCAACCTCATTCGTTCTGCCCATTTCCACCGCTTTCACCCTCCTTGCGACTCCACAACCTTCACAACCACAAAGTCAGGAAACCGGATCTCCACAATCGAATACCCAAATGTCGCTTCGTCGGTATAATTCGTCTCCCTGTTCAGTTACAAGATCTCTCTCTCTCTCTCTCTCTCTCTCTCTCTTGGATCGGTTTAGATGCATCGATCGACCAAGTCGCATGCAGTGAGGTCGCAGCAACAATTTCAGATTGCGGAAAACGGTGTGAGGCCCATGAATCGAGAAGAAATTGTGGCGTTGAGGGAGGAATTCGAGCTCGACACATGCAGCAACAGCAAGCATTTGCTGCCGCCACCTGCTGCAGCGACGCCGCGTCTTCGTCCCCATTCCAACACACTCCAGCCACGTGGATGTGAATGAATGAATGGATGGATGTGTATTTTACGAATGAATGAAAATGATCGGGGGAGGATGTCATCCCTTTTCATGGTGTGAATTTATTTTGTTTTAGTTTGAAAACTATGAAGGTTTTTATAATGCTTATTTGAATAATTCAATCAAAATTTGATTGCAAATGTATGAATTATGTAAAAACGTGTGTGTGTATGTATGTATAAAGAAAGATTTCATGGAAGATCTTTATTATTTAAAAAAAAAAAAAAAAAAAACATTTTGAAAAAACCACATAAATACATGGAAATCAGACTAAAATTTTAATAAGAAAATTAAAATATTAAAAAAAAATTAACAAAATTTTGAACCTTTTACCATATTATTTAGAATTCAATTCTTTAGATTTACAAATTTTAAATGAAAAGTGAAGTATGAAGAAATATAATTGTTTATCTATATGCCTATAAATATATTTATATATGTATATATATACACATACACACTAGTGTATCAATCCATCAAATCAACGAGGAGAATGAACTTTGTTTTGTATTTGTTTTTGCTACATTTTTTTTTTAATTCAATAAAATAAAATTTAAGTAGTAATAACACTCTTCGAAAAAAAAAAAGAAAAAAAAAAGTAACTCAATCATAATCATGCTTTTTAATTTTGAAATTTTGAAAATCTAAATCGACATATTTTGAATTGAAAGAGTGTTAGAGAAATCTACTTTAAATTTTTGAAAAGTCTCAAAGGACTTGAAAGAACTTCAATGATATCATTTTAGATTTAATTTTATCATTAGATACAAAAAAGCTATTACATTTTACTTTGCTAAGTAAAAATTTAATATATTTTTATTATTTTTATTAGTAATAATAAAAATAATAAATAATAAATAATAAAAGATAAATAAAATTTTGAATATCAATAGAATCATTAACATTTCTTTAAGGTTGTTACCAAAGAAAATTTTTATTTACTTCAACAACTAATGAAGCTAATATTTAGAGAAGTGCATTATAAAAAGATAATATATAATAAAAAAGAAATATATGTTAAAAGAAAATACATATTTTATATTTTAAAAATATAATATAAATTTTTATGTTATAAAAAGGCAACATATGTTAATGGCCAATAAATAGTCATTGGATGAAGTTACAAGTTAATTTTAGAGTGAAAATACTAAAATATAGTCATTATAATAAAAAAAAACTAGATTATAAAATTATAAAAGTTTTGGTAATTTTATTAATATATTTTATTTTTAGATAAAAATATATATATGACTTTAGTTGCTACAAAATTGTATTGATAAGATTATAATACATCTTGTATTTCTTCTCTAACTTTACTATGGCAACAAAGTCCTATAAAAGCATTTGGAAGAAGCTCTAAAAGTTAATAAATATTCTAAAAGCTAAAGAATCTTTGATACTTAATTTTTTAAAAATGTAAAAATATTTAAACTTTTTTATAGTAGATTGTATAAAAATTTAAATTATTTAAAATATTAAAAAAGAATTTGGAGGCTTTTAATGATCTATGATAAAAAAAAAAAACACAATTGTTTATTAGTTTTTAATTTTTTTTAAAGGTGCTTAGAGCTATGATTTGTTGTAGGTTTATAAAAAATTATTAATAAAGTACATCTTTGTAAAACATCATATTTTCTTCTATGATATAATTAATTTTTATATAAAAAATTAATCTATATGAAACTATCAAAAGATTGTATATATATATATATATATATATTACTATATACAAAGATTTTTTTTAAAAAATAAACCAATTCTAGAAAATAATAAAATAATTGTCAAGACTAAGAATGGCCTTACTTTTATGTTAATATATACTACATACCATAAAAGATATGTTGAAGCTTCCTAGCAACCATTTCATTAATAACAAAGTTGTCTAAATTGTAAAGTATTTGTGAAGTTGCTTCTTATAGTTATATAACTTATAGAATAGATTTTTATAAACCCATGGTATCCATGAATACTTATAGATGTAAATTGTATCTGATAAACTCATACAATTACAAGCCTCAAAATATCCTACAAACAGACAAATTTTGAAATTTAAATATGATTAAAAGAAAATTTAATTTTTAGAAAAATATTATTAATTCATAAATAAAAAAAACATGATCTTTGGTAGATTTGGCCATGCCATTTATATCAAATAAAAAATTTATACTATTAAGAACTAGTATTTTTCTATGCACACTATTAACTTTTTAAAAAAATATAAAAAATAAGAATTAATTATGGATTATTCATGGATAAAAAGCTATTGTGATTTATTAATTTATCAAAATTTAATCTTACTAGATAACCACTTTAAAAAGATGCACATGTTTTTGGAAACACAAAATAAATTTATTAATGTACTTGATGTACATTATGAGTACTGTACTTTACTCGTAATATACTTTGATGTTATTTTGAAACATGAGTCTTACAATTACTGTGTGGAGTAGAACTTTATTTGAAATTTAGTAAAACATCTGTTGACTAAAAACTAAAAAGAAACCAATAAAACAGACAAAAAGAGAAACCCATGTACAAACAATTTTAAAACAAGTAATATTAATTCAATATTGTTCTCTCTAAAAGAAAGTCACTAACAGTTATAACTACTTGAAAAGCATGGGCCCTCTTCAGTTAAATGAGTAAGTTAACAAAAGCCTGTCGAGGTCATGGCATGTCCACGGTGGTCAAGCGAGGCGAGTGGATAAAACCCCTTTCTCACTGGCTCCGGAGCTGGACACCTACGTGGAAAACATGCGATGAAGGGTAGCGCGATCTCGCCAGGTCTCGGGTTTCGCGGTTGACCGGAAAGAAGAAACGACTAAATTTCATGGAATTCAAGGAGTAGGGCGTGGAAACAGTGGGCAGAATTCAATGTTAGTGGGCGAAAAGAAGTTGACGACCACCCTCGCAACTCAGAAATGCAGCACAAAATTCATGATCGTACCCGAGATTCCGACCCTATCCATCTCCATCGCAACGCCTCTAGGCCCCTGATCGAAAGATCGAACATTCTCTCGCCTGTCCTCCACGCTTCGCACCATTTATACAGTGATATGTCATTGCAGTGTTCAGGCTGTTGTTGGGTTGGGTCAAAGTCTGGCCGCGAGCAATGCGTGGTCGCGGAGCATGAGAAGAGTGTGGAGTCGCCGTGTTGTACTTTAGAACTCGCCGTCTAGGTTCAGATAAGCGTTTGTTGTGATGTTTGAAGGTTGGTAGTGTAGGTTTTGTGGACTGTTCTTGTTGTTGTTGTAACCGCTCTCGTCCTTCGGGTGCTCATCCTAGTGGAGGCTGACTATGGCCAGTGTAAGCTCCAAAAGTTTCGAATCGCTCACGGCTGATAATCTCGACCCCAGGTTGACGAAACCTCCGAGCGGCCAGAGGGTGGTTACTGACGGATTTGATGTTCTCAACTTCATAGACTTTAAGTGGGACGTAGTTTCTACTGCCGAGCTTGGTGGCCATTTCCTCGTTTTACCCAAGACATGCCAAGTGAGAATATTTTCTGATGCTCGCAGTAGGATTTCAATGCAATCTAGCATATTTGTTTGCTTTCTAACTGTTTCTAGTTTTACGTGCGTATAAACGCCTGTTTGTATGTCGAAACTAGTTTGAGGAGTTTATTTACCGTGTATGCGTGTGTGTGTGTGTATGTGTGGGTTTGAACGACTTGCAGCCATTTGGAGTCCTCCATGGCGGCATCACGGCCTTCCTGGCAGAAAATCTGGCAAGTATGGGAGCGCAAGTGAATTCTAATTGGGCCAGAGTTGCAGGGCTCGACCTGAACGTGAACCATTTGTTGTCGGCGTCAATCGGCGAGACGGTCTACGTCAGAGCCACGCCTCTGCGGGTCGGTAAGAGGGTTCAGGTCTGGGATGTGAAGTTCAGCAAACCTGTGCAGTCCGGAAGCCTTGCTACCACCACAGAGATGGCCACCACAGCGGTTGCGCGCCTGACTGTGTTAGTCGGTTTGCCGGGCGTTGAGAAGGCCAAAGACGGAAACGAGAAGCTCTTGGCCATCGCCAAATCCATGAACATGGTGCTGCCTCCGGATGAAATCACGCAATTAGCTTCCAAACTATAGGCAGCTTCTTCAAACCTGTGCAGATTTGTTTTTATAATTTTACAGTTTCTTCGTTCCACTTTGTAATTAGGGCTTGCAACTGCAAGCACGCATGGTACACACATGGAGGCTCGCACAACTTGTCACAGCAGCCCAGACATGCTGAGGCTTGGAGCCAAAACACAGAGGGCTTAAGGTATTATTTAGAGTTTTACAGTGCGTTTAGCAATCACTAAATACTCTTGGTGGTCTACGTGCATTGTAGAGAATTGGAATGGGATCCGTCCCTTTTTGAATTTGCAGAGCGTCTAGACAAAGTTCGATTTTTGGAAGAATTTATTCTCAACTAAGCATTATCCATGAGACTCACCACAGCAAGGCGCTACAACATTGAGATGGGCGTATTCCACTGTTGGCTGTGATGTTATTGAGTGACAGTACGATTTTTGCGCTCGTGCTGGGACCGCCTGCGCGAAGACAACAGTAATCGTGAGACTGTGCCTCAAGCGGAAAGAAAAACACAACATCCACGATGAGGCACAAGACTGTCGATAAACGTGTTACATTCATTTGACACGCAATCCAAACCTATTTTATAAGAATAGTCTTCTACGAGTCTGAAAAAATGACCATTGCGTGACTCATTATCGAAGTACAGTGCTGGGCACGCAATAAGCATGTGAGCATTATTTCATAGACTACTCAAACCTCTCAAAGGTAGGGATAGACCTCTGAGATGCTTTGAGTAGTCAATGGAATAATGATGCTGTCCATAAACTTGATGTGTGGCTATCTACCGTCTGAAGCTTCAAGGGGTGAGCTCCTGCATCTTTTCCTAACGACCAGAATAGACTTGATGTGGACTGATATGAACTAATCAACGCTGCCAAGGCCTCACTGCTTTGCAGCTCATCTCTGCAAAATCTTATCAATCCTCTTTTGTTTCACCACCCTTGTTGCTTTCAGAGCAATTCACTGATGCTAAATCAGAGCTCGATACTTCCAGGGAGAGATGCGCATTTGAGGCTCTTTCACTTACCAGTGGCGGTGACCACATTTACTACGTAACCTGCATTTCATAGGATGATAATTCGAACTACTAGAAATTGAAGCCCGGATAAATAGTATTCACCCAAATTTGACACCAAGGTCTCCATCTATTTGTAACTCCACGTATATCATAATCTTATGTAATCATCGACTACTTGTTCCGCGAGGTCAAGTAATATACTTGAACTTGCATCAACTCCTAGATACCTGATTTGGATTTGATATTTCCAGTCTACTCACATAAATTCTCCCGCTGCTCTATCCCATTAACAAGGATAACAAAGCTAACTTCCAACGTCTCAAAAGTGAGTGGTGTTGAGTGCAAATGCATAACTGTTATTCTATTCTGAAAAGGTGTAGGATTGGTTGCCTCTGGTGATATATTTTATCAGAAGAAAAACATGTGAATTTTGTAATTTAATAAAATTCATCAAAACTTATTGATGTATATATAAAAAAAGACGTAATAGAAAATGGAAATAAAAAACCTATGTATATATTTATTAATAAAAATAGAAGTAAAAAATCCATATAACTTTACAAGTGTCAAAAATTAAGGCAAGTTTTGATCTTTATGTCTATAATAGAATGAGAAATAAAGAATAAAATTTATAATAAAAGAAGAACTACGTCCAAAAGAAGTAGAATAAGACTTTGGTTAATTAATACAAATCAAACCAATAATTACTTAGAATATCAACTTTTATTTATTTTTTTCTCTAAGATTATACTAAATATAAAATATTTTTTGTATTTAAATACTATTTATTATTTTTATATATTATTGAATTAAAATTATATTTGTATAAAAAATATTGAAAATTATCAAATAATTTATTTTATATTATGTGATATAAAATAAATATTAATAATAATACAATAATTAATAAAAAAAGAAAAAAGTTTTTAGCTATTCAATCAATCAATTTTTTAAAAAAAGATAAATTAATAAAATACTATACATATATACATATATACATACATATATATGAACTAATGAATATAATTGTATTTTTTGTAAAAGCCTACTTTAATTCATAGATGGTATTATGTATCAACAAAACAAAAAGATGGTATTATTAAAATATATCACTAGTACATAGATTTAAAAATACTATCTATGAATTCCAACCATAGAGTTCTAAGATATAATTTCTATCTAAAATTATGTTATAATATTTTTTATGTATAATAATAGAAGCATAAAATATAATATGATATTTCAATAAATTGTTGCAATTATAATCAATGTCAATAGATATAGATTATTAATTTAATAGAAAAATAAAAAGATATATGTATATATATATATATATATATATATATATATATATATAATTTTTTTCTTTCTAATTAATTTTATTTAAAAAAATATTAATTCTTAAAGGTTCTTAATTATCAAAACAACAAACAATACCAAATACTTAGATTCTAATAAGAGTAGGTTCTTAAAGTTTTAATTAATTATTGGAGCTTTATAGTTTTTACAAGATTGATTATTAAAAAAGAAAATATATATATATATATATATATATATAAACATAACATATTAATAATTATATTACAATAAAATAATATAGAAAAAAATATTTTTAGAAAGAAATATATATTTGAAAAAAAAATTCTTTTAAACAAGTTAAAAATAAATAAAACAATATATCTTTATACAAAGAAAGTTAAGTTTTGTAAATTAGTTTTTTTACAATAACATGTATATATATATATTTTATTAATTACATGATTTTTATCAAATTAGGATATTATATAAAGTCTAAAAGAAAAAAATTTAGAAGGCTATTTAAGAAAATTAAATTAAAGAATAACCTTAAAATTTGATTTTCATATACTAAATAAAATTTAATACTTTTTTAAGAGAAGCTTAAGTATTTTTTAAAAAAATTGTTTAAAATTTTAAGTTCTCATTGAGAAAAATTATAACTCAGAATTAAAATTTAGCTTTAATTAGGATCTAAAGAATTGGTTTTGACATTACTTCCTTGATTACTCAATTGTGTTACTTTGTTATTTGAAAAACTTAAAATTCTGTAAAAACTTGTCAAACCAAGAATTGAGGTGAAAGTAGAATGCATATTGTAGCTTGTGTTCTTTATAATAGGTGTTGCAAGTTGTTGTAGAAAGTGTTTCACGATATAATTGTTGTCACAATCACATAAGAACTTTGTTAGTGTTGTTGAAAACCAGTGTTTCTACACATATAGTTGCAAGTTTGCTTGAGATTTTTTAATTATCTATTGTGCAATTGAGATTTCAAGTAGAAAGAGAGTTTTAAAAGAAATTTTAAAAGAGGGGCACCCACAAAGACTCGTAATAGAGGAGCAACAACTAGTGGATGTCACAGGGCAAATTTTGGAAAATCAGTTGTATTATACCACACAAGAATAGAATTCAAATCTTTGTAATTTGATTTTTCATTATGACAACGTTCCAAATCATTTAGCCAAATCCATAGAAGAGTGGTTTAAATTGCAGTCTTTTCAAGTTCTTGAGTAGCTAGCTCAATCACCAAATCTAAGGTTACATGATCACTTATGAGCACTTCTGAAATGCTAATTGAATAATTGTGACAAAGCTCCAACTCAAATGCTGCAATTGTAGGAGCAAGAGGTTGAAGTATTTTATACAATCAGTGTTGAGAAGTGCAAGAAACTTTGTAAAACCATGCTCAAGTGTTTTGCAGCAGTTTCAACCTCATGAAATGAGACTTGCATGTAGAGAAACCCAGTGATAAAAATCATATCATTAATCTGTTGATTGTCTGTATGTGTCTGTGTGTACAAAAATAAATGATGTTGATTTAAACCTAATTCATGTTTTTGATAACCTTCAGCACTCCTTTTAATGAATCGTATATCTTAAAACACTTCATATTATGTCTACATATACACACTAGTATATTCACAATCAATAGAGAGTTATCTTTGAATGCTGCTTTTACTATGTTGGTGACAAATTTATATCTGGAAGTTGTATTTACAAAATTGAATCTTCCGTAAAAAAGTGTACCAAATTGTCCTCATGGGTAAGATTCCAGGACTGCTGACAAAGATACCAGACACAATTGGACTTTGTTTCACTCATTGAGCTCCCATGTAAAACAACATATTAGCTCCATTTCTATGCAGGACTAAACACTCCACGCATTCATTTTTCTATCAAATATGCTAGATCATGGAAGGAACCCTCAAGGTGGTGCATATTCAATACGGAGAGCAGCGTTGCCGTAAAGCATTCAGTTAGGTTCTAAATGAAGAGCTGCCAAATGATAGTGGCACACATGGTCTATGCAGATAACTGTCGCTAATTACGAGCATAAGCTCCCAAGTTTCATATCTAGCTTCCGCAACCTTCCAAGTCGATGAAAAGAAAAACATGGAGTTACTGACATGCAACACACAAGCTCTGTTTTGTGTTGAGCATCTCCTAATATATACAGACAGAAGGTTTGCAGGTCCCCATTGCAGGCTTTCGGCAAATGCCTGGTGGGGACGACTGGAGACCAAGCCCTGGTAATTATGTACATACCGACATTGCTGAAATCAATGCAACCCAAATGGGGGCAAAATGGCTCCTATACATCTCATTCTGTAACTGATCAGATGTGTCTAAGTTACCAATTTAAACTAGGAGGGCATTGCTTAGGTTTGGGTTGGTTTTGCCAATTCTCTACTCACTTCGTGGTTGATCATCTTACTGGCTGTAGGGAAAAGTTAAGTGATCCGGTTGTCTCCACTGCGACTTCAGCTCATTGATAGCTTTGGTCGCAGCTGCCGCCACTTCCGGATTTGAATCCGTTGATAATCTCTGCCAAATGCATTCAATTCCAGGGTTCAGAAAAGTGAGTAGCCGCACAATATTTGTGATACTACTTAAAACCGCTAAAAGTACATGATCAATCTCTGAAGTTGAGCACTACCTGAAGTGCACCCATCCCAGCATTCCCAAGCGTCCATAGAGATGGCGCATCAGCTAATGCACCAGCCAACGCAAGACTGCACACTCCACAAGTTTTTCTTCAAAATCGAAGTACTTAATACATAGAGAAACGTAAACAACCACACGTTGTGCATACATCCTTTGGAAACGAAATACTAAATGCGTGTACTGACTAATACTCCACTTGAAAGGACCATAAAATTGAAGACATTGACTCCAGAGTTGTAGGTGAATGCAAACCGACCGAGTCGCAACATCAGGAGAGCTCGCGCTCTCGGTCACTAACAACGCGCCACTTCCACCATCAACCTCCTCCATGTCCAGCAGGGCAGCTACAATGAATTCTAACTGAAATTAAACCAAGCCAATATCTCATTACACTTCGCAATGAACGCAAGCTAGTAAACCTTGGAGTCAAACCTTGAGCAAAAGGTTCATGAGATATCAAAATAATATGGAAATACAGGCTGCACTTTAGTTTTCATGCATACAAACAAAGGTGTAGACAAGGAATCGGCTGGGCCACACACCTCATCCGGGTCGGTACACTCCATACCCTCTGCCTCCACCAACGCCGACGCCATCTTCAAGCATGCATCCTGCACATTATGTCAACTGCTGATCATTCTGATCTGATATACGACCCAGAGTAGTGAGCAACAGAAAGACTACAAACTTTCATACATAGTAAACTACTGAATACATATTCTATTTGACTACATTCGAGAATCAAATTTGAGGTGGAAATTGTACATAAGAAACAAAAACAATGAACTCAGCAAAAGCTCTAGTAAAAAGCTAATCAGATTAGTTTTACACCTACACAATCTTGTAGGTTTGGCAAGGATGGGCAACCTGAATTGCTGTCAATCGATCTGGCATTGGATTACTTTTTCGCAAATAGCTCCTAAAATCTTGACTATCGTCTGCTGCACCCTCACTCACGCCAACCTTTCCAACATCCACCTGTGCAGGCTTGTTCGACCTGCAAATCTAGTTAAAAACGAGAATGACTTTGATAGTCTTGTAGCTATAATCAGAAATCTTTCGAAATCATATATCTCATACTCAGAGCACAGATTATTCTGTGACTTCAAAGGGTATCCAACTATATTTTGCTGATGCGATGCGGGACACCAAAATGCTGACCTTACTCTCAAAGTGTTGACCAGGGCATCTCGAACATTCTTGACTACTTCCAAGGCAGCATAGAGGTCTTCCATAGCTCGTCGACGAGCTCGTAGATCTACCAAGCGCAGATCCGCCTGTTATAGCAACACGGGGACCATAGTATCAAAACGGGGACCATGGAAGGTATTGCAAAAAAGATGACTTCAATCAAAGGTTGCAACTTTTAAGCAGAAGGTGACTCACACATCCAACAAAAGCACAAGAGATGCTAAACAGTTAAAGCTCAGCAGAGATGACCCTACATCCAAAGCCCCATCACTCCAATGTTCTTCCGCTGCATTGCTCAGCTCCATAGATGCACTCTCCGTCAAGCCCTGTTTAACAAAAATATCTCAGAATGGGGATCTGTGATCGACCATGATACAGCGAAATTCGAAATGATTCGCATAGTTTCTCGGACGCTAATTATATAAGTTGGGGAAAGATCCTTGGCCAGTGAGCACAACCATGTCCATGAAGGTCAGATGTAATTTCTCATCTGACGATACATCTCTCTGGATTTCAAATAGGACATGAGAACAGAGCTGCCACAAACTTACCAAAGCAATATGACGAAGACGCATCATCTTCTGGCGCGCATTAGTGTCCAACTTCACCACATCCTCCCGTGCACGAGCTGAGTAAATACACGTCATGACGTTGATATAAATAACATCTCACTAAGACACGATTGTGTTTTTAGGCATCAAACAATACACTAAGTACCGAGATGCACATTCGTCAATTTAAGAAATCATGAAACAACATTTCCTTCGATGAGCTTCTAATCTTACCGTCAAGCTTCAAGAAACCTGATCCCAGAAGTGCAACATCCTCACGAACTCTCCTATCCAGACGCAATATTTGCCTGAACACGTTAAGAACAAGAAAATATTACTTTAACATGATGAAACTCATACATTCAGAAGTGCTCTCGACCTTAAACACGCTAATCAACACAAGTTGCGAAGATTCAGATCCGATACCGAACAGCATCCAAATTGTCAAACGATTTAAGCGAAAGATAGATATTAGTTACTAGCATACTACAACTGAACTCAAGGACAGTTCTCTTGGAATATTCGTCATGCACACTCTTTAACTTGTCAAGATGATATTCCAGTCATAGAAGATTACATAGTTCAAATAGATACATAAATAAATAGCCAGGAATAAGCACCTGGATAATAGATGAAAGTCACTGCGCGCTCGCTCATCAATATTCTGCACAGTAGCACGCACCAGCATGGCATCATTGAAGGCGCAGCGAGCTGCTTCTGCAGGTCCACCAACATTCCTTGCCGGCAGTGGCACGACAGTTTTTTTATCACTCATCATGCACACCTTTTCATCAACTTTCGCATCGCCCTTCATTTCAAATCGACATCCAACCCCAATCACCATATTTCTCTTCCCTTTGCGATCCTTACTTCCTCCTTGCGCACCCATTAGTATTTGTGTACATGCTTCCCTCAGGTGAGTAGAGGCTGAGAGCGACATTTTCTCAGAGTGAGTGTGGGGCGCCTGTCTGTCCGTTACTACAGCCTAAATCTCAAGCTTGAGAACACTCCATAATTTTGATCTAGCTACAAATTAGTTGAAATTCCAGCTTGCTGAACCCAAGACCGTGTGTGGGCACTTGCCCCTCCAGGTCTGGCGGGCAGAGCAAACTCCACAATCAAAGACAATCCGGAAATATGAGAATAGAAATAAAGTCCTTGTCTGTCACTTGAGGGTTCAGGCCGTATTTACTGTGGCTACCAGATGCCCACTTCATCTCCGTAGGGTGGCTTGCCCCACTAGTTCAGAGGCTGCATTTCAATACCTCGGTGAACACTTCAAATCCTTCACCTCCCTGCATTGTGAAATCAAACTTTTGCTCATCAAAATTCACTGAATTGGCAAGCAACATCAACTCTGGAAACAATGGCGAAAGAGAAAATAACGCAGTGGTTGTCGTGATCAAGGCATCATCAAAACCAGAATGAGGAAGAAAGTAGTACTTGAACCACTCAAAAATAAACCAGGTGAAACTTACAGCACAGGCTACCCAGAAATGAAAGACAAAAAAAAAAAAAAAAAAAAAAAAAAAAGTGCTGCAAGTAAACATCGAAATCCAAAGAATGAAAATTGTTCGTAGCGATCGTGCTCACCATGTACATCTACGGATTCGCGTCACCTTAAATCAGTCAAGCGGCTCAAATTGCGCTCTCGCAAATTCCAAAACACAAAAAACTAAGAACTCTTTAGGAAACAAAGTTCCTGGATCGCATCAAACGTGATCGTCCTCTCCTCTCACGCTCTAAACCCCCATCAACACTTCAGACACCTCTCAAGAATCCTTCAAGTTTAAGTTGTTGGGTTACCCAACTTCTGATCACACCTCTCTGAATGACCAATCCACTAAAGGGGCACTTACAGAGCCGCACAAGATGTGCCACCCCAAGCACAAATAGAACCAGATCGGATGCAGATGGCTTCAAGATTCCGCAACCAGCGTTGCAAATAAGAAAACTGAGGGCTGGCAACAATGGGATCCTCCCACACGACAGCATTGATACTGATCTACCGAAACAAGTTCCGAATCCGCAACACTGGGAAAAAATACCTCGCCCAGGTGGATGAATGGCGTGCGTTAAAGTGATTCTCCGGGATTCCTGTCTTTTCACGAAGCTCTGTTCATCGAGACAGGGGATGTGAGCATGGCCCTCCATGACTTTCTCGCACGACATCCTGCCACATCTCGCAATCTGGGCCAGTCTTTGGGAGGGTTAGTGGACTGCGAGATTGGGAGGCAATTGCTTCTGAGACGCAAACCAGCGTCACATCTCCCATTCTCGGCCATGCAGTAGGAGATCCCCCCCAAAGGGGTTGCCTTTTGCTTTGCCCCCACCTCTCTTAATCCTAATTCTCCACGCCTTTGCATTCTTTTTGTAGCCTTGGGTGGTTGCCGTTGCTGCTGGTACATGTGGGACCAATTTAAAGCCCGAAGTTTGAGAGTATCATTGATTAGCTTATTGTTGTAAAGAATCCAAACACCAACATTGCAAGGCAGCTGAAGTTGTGATTTCATGACCATTCCCCTTGGATAGATTTAAAAGATGATAATGTGTAGGTGACGAATTGGGAAGGTAAGATTGAGCAAACATCAAGAAAATCAACTTCGGTCAATAGAAAATTAGTGAAAATTTGGTCAAAAAATAATTGACTGCTTGTATTGGAACATATGACATCTACAAAGGAATACAGTCCAATAGATTATTATACAAAGGATTTGATATGAGCTAAGGTTTTTATTCTTATTTGTCATTTAAGAATCTGTCCAAATTCTTTAATTGGATGAATATTGATTTTATACATTCATTTTTTTCAATATCCAATGTAGAAACTGATTTTTAATAGTAAAACATATTTGGTGACACATAAAATTTTTATTTAAAAGTTATCAACTTTAGGATTAGAATAATTCAAAATAATTAAAAAAAAGTCTTCTGAGACTTTGTATGCATATATTATTATTTTTTACAAATTAATAACTATTTTTTTTTCTTTTAAATAGGATATATTCTTTAATAGATTCAATGTTGATACCCTACCATTATTCTTTGTCTTCTATTAGAATTTGACCAATTCATTCTTTTTGTTTTACATCTCTTAATAAAGAATTAATGATAAAGATTAATAATATATTAATAAAGTAGTTTATTCTTATTTAAAACATAAATTCTATTAATATTAATAAAATTAAAGTTTTGATTATCTATCATTTTTATATGTTTTATTAGTTCTTTTTACATAATTATCCTTTGATATATAAGTAATCTCAAAAACTTTTTTGTGATACTATTAAGATGTGATTTAATGCTTGTAGTATATAAAACTTTTTTGATAGAATTTATTTTGAAGCAAGTTCAAAACATAAGACAAAATATATTCATAAATATTTTTTGGTGTATTTTAGTTACATACAATAGTATAAAAATAAATCAAATATTTTTATTGTTAAATTTAAATTCAAAATATTTGAATTATAATTTTAAGAAAACATTAAAGCAATCCAAATTTTTATTAAATCAATCCATCATATTTTAACTATCATTGCATTTTTTCAATCTCCATGTTCATTTCCAATTGTTTCTTTGTTCTTCATCATTACTCTCATTCTTATTATTTCTCTTATTTCCCTTATTTTCCATCCACTTTTGTTGAGACTTTATAGCCTGTAAACATCAATAGCTATTGAAACGAGATTGGATTACCTCTAAGATATAAGACCCTTCCAATCTATAGTAATATAATTTTCGTCACAAAGTAGGATAGTGTAGACCATAACAAAATTGAACAGAACTAAATAGAATAGAATATGAAAGGCAAAATAAAACAAAAGAGAATAGAATAGAATTGAATAGATAAGTGTAAAATCAAACTTTACTAAAAGAACGAGATTGAAGCCATATTTGATCAGCTACTCAGATGGCCTTAACTAGTACTATTTATACTTTATCCAACCATCTTAGAGTTTTTTAAATTTGCTCTTAATGGTAGAATCCACATATATAACTACCTTAAGTTCTTTCTAGAATGTTCTATGATAGATCCTATATTGACTACTAATCTAGTTCTAATTCTAAAAACTTTCCAAACATGGCTCCAACTACCTATTTCTATATATGAATAATACAAATATCTTATCCATACCTCATTATAACTATGACATGTTCTTTGACCAATTGCATCCCTGTGCGGTGATTTAAACAAAGTGACAAATATACTCTTTGTCATGGACATATAAGTGAAGAAGGTTCTAGAAGGTTCCAAAAGATTCTAAGAAGGTTTTTAAAGGTTCCAAGAGGTTCCAGAAGGTTTCGAAAGGTTCCAGTAGATTCTAAGAAAGTTCTAGAAGGTCATAGGAGGCTTTAAAAAATTTAGGAAGTTGCTGAAGAAGGATCTTATGTTTACTTTGTTCTCAAGCCTCATAAAAGCTTTTCAAGAAGCTTTCTAGGACCTAATATATGTAAGAGTCAAGACTGAGGGAATCCTTAGTCTTGACAACTCATTTCTTGTGGTCTAGCGAGGACTTTCTTACTTTATATCTAATTATTATTTTAATGTCAAGTTAACTCTATTCTTTAGTCTTGAATCCTTGTCTTGTATATGGTTTGTAATAGTTTGTCGAGATTTTCATAAAATAATATTAGGAGCTTGGTCTTTCTTGACAAAGAGTGAATTATCCCTCTTCTTGGAAGTACTATAGTATTTTAGAGGTTGTGGATTACCCTACCTTAGACTAATATTATTCTTTTTTTAATATTCTTTTGATTTTTTTTTTTTTTTTTTTATATATCATATATTAGGTTTTTTTATCTTTTTGAAGGCATATGTTTCTTTGATTTTTTATGGCAGAAGGTGGAAAAGTCAATATGAGAAGCTCTAAAGAGATCAAGTTAGATTCTATTATTACTGCTCTTGAAGCATTGAGGATTAGGACAGAGACTTTGTCAAAGCAGAATGAAGAATTATATATGACCATACATAATGGTCAAAGAGTTGGAGTGCCTCAACCACCACATTAAATTACAACAGAGGTTCCAAATTCTCAAATGACTATGTCTACTTCAAACATGAAAGGTACATCCATTCATGACAATGATCTAACAACAATAACAACAAAAAAACCAAAGATCAGCCTTCCGGTGTCGGAGTAGAGAGAGTTTGCCTTAAAAAAATACTGGCTCTTGGTTGCCACTAATTACTCAATCAATTCTTGAGATAAAAAGATCAAGTTTATATATATATATATATATATATATATATATATATATATATATATATATAACACTTTTAGGTGCTATTATACCAAATATATAAGTCTTAAGTTTCCAAAAATATCCAAAATATGATAAAACCTCTAAATCCTTATATATCCTTATGGGATATTATTTCCAAACTTCAAAAACTCATATCTTTCAATCAGACTGTCTAAACACACTCAAATTTTATATAAAATATTGATGTACTTTTAAAAACAATTACAAAAAATTTCAACTACAAATTCATTGCAGATCTTAAGATATCATCAAAATCCTAACAGTAGCTTCAAATCCTAGTTTTTATACATGTGCATGCAAATTTCTTCATATCTCACAAATGAAATACTCAAATGCTACAAAATTTGTACGTATAGCTTTTTAATATAATAATCTACCTTCATCAAAAAGTTTGAGTCAAAAGTTCATCCAAAAACTCAAGATATGGCTCCAACCATTACTATGAACAAAATCACTTACTTATTGCCTTTGATTTGGATGCGATGACTTCAACCTTCTATAACTTCTTCATCTAAATTCCAAATTCATCAAAAAACATATAAAAGGTATAGTAAAAAAAATGCTCTTTTCAATCCTAGTCACCGATCCTTTGTTTCTTTCTGTAAACGTATGTTATGCCCCAAAGTGTGACAGTAGATGTAAAATTGACACCTTAATTTTGAGTGCCAATAACTCCTTCATGTAAACTCCAAATCATACAAAATTTATATCCAATCTATACCTAAAAACTTGAATTTGATGACCCTAGCCTCCAAAGCTCAAATGGCTGCAAAAAAAAAATCCTAATTACTAATAGGGCCTTGGACAATCTCCTTGAAGTCCATTGGACATGGCCTTCGACCAATAGAAATGAAGAACTCTATTCCTTACCTTCATCCACCCATGTCTTGCTTTTTTTCCTCCCAATAAACCTCCTACTAATTAAGGTTTTCTTCTTTAAGCTCTAATCTCTTCTCAAGGCTTCATACTAAATATTTAAGTCTTATAATTTTTTTAAATGTTATAATCAAAATAGATAAAATTCAAAACCATAGCCAAAAACCTAAACTTGCTAATTCTAGCCTCCAAAGCTCACATGATCCCAAAAGACTCAATCAAAGGCAATAAGTAAGTGACCAATAGGAATGAATATTTTTATCATCCATCTCCATTCATCCATATGGATGCCCTAACTTTTCTTTTTTGCTACTAAGATCTTTCTGCAATCCTTTTTTTTATAAGATTTACAAAATATATGCCGTAAATATCAAATAAAGGAAATAAAATAAGACTTTAAGAGTCACTAATATCTAATAGAGGTGACTCTAAATATTTAAAGGTTACTATCAATAAAATAAAATTCAAAGTCACTATCAAAAAAAAAAAAGTTATATAAATTCTAATAAAAGTCCTTTTAAACTACTTCTTTTTGAGGTAGTAATCTATCCACATCTCATAATCAACAAAAATCCATTAACATGGCTCTTACCATATTGTCTAGTATATTATGCATTAAATATATAAATACATTATTTTCACATAGTAGTCAAAGTACAACACGACAATATATTCTACATCAACATATGCCTTAGATTTTTGATAATTAGCATGTAATATAAATTAGAGAGAAGACACATTGATGAGCCAATTTCATTGGAAATTAAGAGACGATATCAAAAACTTATTGTTGTCTATGCCAGATCTTCTAATACTCAATGAAGCCATTAGTCAAGCTGTAAAGTAAAATAATTATTTATTTCAATGATGACAAGATAAA